CCTAAAGGAGATCAGTCCTGAGTGTTCATTGGAAGGACTGATGTTGAAGCTGAAACTCCAATACTTTGGCCACCTGATGGGAAAAAATGACTCATTTGAAAAGACCCTGATGCTAGGAAAGATTGAAGGCAGGAGGAGAAAGGGAAAACAGAGGATGAGATGTTGGATGGCACCACTGACTCAATGGGCATGAGTTTGAGTAAACTCCATGAGTTGGTGATGGACAGGGAAGTGTGGTGTGCTGCAGTCCATGGGGTTGCAAACAGTTGGACACGACTGAGTGACTGAACTGACTGATGTATTGATCCCAAACTCCTAATTTAAGCACTTACTTGTTTTGAAGCTCCATTTATGGGGCTAGGGAGGATGACATGTGGAGTGATAATTCTGTTACCTCCCCCTTCATTTTTGGGGGGGTAAATATTTTCTTACCTCTATCTGTCCCAGCTTACCTCAGAAGAATAGTGGCTGATGTGGAGATAGATATTAGTTGACTTTTCTAAAGTCCTGTAATCCTTGTCCAAGCATCTCAATATGAGGAGAAAGGTGAGTCCCAGTTTTGGCTCAGCTGCAGCTGACAGCCTAGTGTACAGATTTCTCTTCTCCATGTAGAGTCAGAAGGAAACAGTCTCTTCATCTCTCCATCCATCCTTCCATCCATCCATCGATTGATTTATTGGTTCAACATGCCCAATTTTAATATGCCTGTTGCTTGGTGTGTAAGGAGAATAAGACACGGTCCTTGTGGGGAAAAGTCTAGTTTAGATATGAGCAGAAGTGTAGGAAGAATGGATCTTACAGTGGCCAATTTCACAGACATTTGAGGTGGCATTGAATACGAGATGTTAAAAAAAGAAAGAAATATAAAAAAGTTATCATAGGTAATGCAGAGAAGCTTTGCATGAAGGACAAAAGGCAAATATCTTTTTATATTATATAGTTCTTCAGAATTCAGAGTTCTCTGGATTTCAGTGCTTGCTTTGAGATAAGTCTGTGGATTATTCTGCAGTGGGATCCTTGCTCATCCAGAGGTCAGCACTCAGAGGTCAACACCAATGCATTAGCTATCATCTATAACCATTCATGCAACTTATTCTGAGCCCTTAACTTGAAACTATGACTTCAAGGAAAACTCTAAGTAAGAACATCCAAGAAACATTTTTCAGCTCTAATCTCTGGTTCCAAAGTGTGGGGAGGCCATTGACTTACAAGAAAATCCTATTTTTCTTCATAGAAAGTCTGTTGTTTTAATATTTTTCTAATGACTTATATCTAGTAAAATAGCACACATTTACACTGAGATGCTACCCAAGCACCCAGGGTTGAGTGACAGACTTTCTTGAATAGCAATTCACACTTAAACAGATCAACTTAAACGTGTTGTTATAAAATTATTTTTTAAATTTATGCTTAATTAGAGGATAATTGCTTTACAATATTGTGTTGGTTTCTGCCATATATCAACATGAATCAGTCATAGGCATACATATGTCCCCTCCCTTTTGAAACTCCTTCCTACTTCCCAAACTGTCCCACCCCTCTAGGTTGTTACAGAGCATGGGGTTTGAGCTCCCTGATTCATACAGCAAATTCCCATTCACTATCTGTTTTACATATGGTAATTTTTAAAAATTTTGTTTCCAAGCTACTCTTCTAGTTTGTCCCACCTTCTCCTTCCCCCACTAAGTCCATAAGTCTGTTCTCTATGTTGGCATCTCCATTGCTGCCCTACAAATAAAGTCATTGGTACCATCTTTCTAGAGTCCATATATATGTGTGTTAGTATGTATTTGTTTCTCTCTCTCTGACTTACTCCTGTAATAGACTCTAGGTTCACCCACCTCATAGAGCTGACTCAAATGTGTTCCTTTTCATGGCTGAGTAATATTCCTTTGTATGTAGTACCACATCTGCTCTATCCACTCATCTGTTGATGGACATTTAGTTTTCTTCCAGTCTCAGTTATTGTGGCTAGTGCTGCTGTGAACAAAGGGGTGCATGTTTCTTTTCAAATTAGAGTTTTGATCCAGCAATCCTACTCCTGGGCATGTATCTTGTCAGTAAGCATTTCTTGAGTAAGTAAATGGTATCAGGGCATGGAAACCACTGTTCCAACCTTAGGGAGTGGCCCAGCCCAGCTTATCCACCTCTTAGGAATGTTAGAGGTGTTGACCAGAGAATGTTTGGACTGTGTTACTAGGCAGTTATATATTGGTAGCAATAAATGGATGAGACAGTAATGGAAGATACTGTAGAACATTGAATATTTAATCACACTGAAGGGAACTTGGCCTTTGACATCTGGCTGTAGCAGATCCAATAGTTACAACATTTTTGGAAAATGTAATCTAATTTATAGTGTGGCAGATTCAGTGATTACATACCCTTGACAATGGCAAGCATCACTAAAATATATATTTTTTTCTCCTTTCTACCTTATAGACAGTATTGATAAACCAGGTACATCATTGCCTACCTGGGCCATAGTTCTACTTGCTGTGTCATTGTCATTGCTTTTGATCCTGATCATTGTTCTGATTATAATATTATGCTGCTGTGTCTCCAGGACAGAGAAAGAAGGTAATTTACTTTTGTTAACATAGATTTGTGTTTTCTAATTTTTGGTACAAGCATTTGTAGTTCATTAGCTCATCCACTAATCTTTCAAAAGATACATTGGCTTTTTTTGGAAAGAAGCCTGAGCCAACCCTTCAAGGGAGACAGATCTTCACACCCTGAGAAGGTTAAGAGATGGTTGTGTGTTTATTTGCAAGGTGTGTGTGCTCAGTCATGTCCAACTCTTTGAGACCCCATGGACTGCAGCCTGCCAGGCCCCTGTGTCCGTGGAATTTTCCAGGCAAGCATACTGGAGGGGATTGCCATTTCCTACTTTATTATTTGCAAGGATATAAGGCTACTTTGATGTGTCATTCAGATGCTACGCTTTTTTTTTCTTTCTAAAATAATATCTACCTATCTGAGCACATCAAAAGATTATTTTCTATTTTGTAGGATTCTGACTCTCCTTTTCTAGGTGAATATCGATGCAGTGGTAGAAAAAAAAAACATGGTCTTCTGTTAATAAAAATAGTACAAATAAAATTAATAAATATATGTACACATCTCCTAAATGAAATCTTTGAGATACTCCAAGATATGTGAAGGCAGTGGCCTTGTTTTGGGGCAGGCTCAACCTACGGGTGAGTTAATCAATGTTGGGGTGGGAGTTAGTTCATGATTTTGTAAACCACAGGCACTTTGTTGTGTGGGTTCAGGACTACCCAAGTGCTGAATGTGTGTCTATCTTTGTCTTTCTTTCTCTCTTAAAACCTCCAAATACTCCTATTTGAATATTTGAATTTTTTTTTTTTAAGTCAGAGGTTTGATGTTTGGCTACATGTCAGTTTGATTGTACTGTTAATTTTGCTAGCACGAGGTGATTTGATGAGCACTTTCTGCATGTCTGCCAGACACCATGTTATCTACCTCTTTTACTTGGAATTGCTCTCTTAGTGAGATATTTCACATGACGTCCATTGTCCTGCCTTCACTAGGCTACTTGCCTAGATTTAGCTCCTGCATGGGTTCAGTTTGCCCTTGGAGAATTACTTCTGTGCTATACCTTTATTCAGACTTTTGTGGTGGCTCAGTCACCTGCCAATGCAGGAGACACGGCCTCGATCTCTGGGTTGGGAAGATCCCCTGGAGAGAGAAATGGGAACCCGTTCCAGTATTCTTGCCTGGAGAAGTCGGTGGACAGAGGAGCGTGGCGGGCTACAGTCCATGGGGATGCAAAAGAGTTGGACTTAGCAACTAAACAATGACATACTTTTATTCTCTAGGAAACAGAAATGAAAAGCAGTGAACCCCTGTTGACCCATATTCGATGGAAATTTGTTTTTCCTTGGGAGTTTTCCTGTATGTCACAGATAAATTATTAATCCCACTGAATTTTAATGGAAACTATGGATAACTTTAATTTTAATTCAAAACAGACTAGGATTGCTTGTTGCCTTCAGATTATTATTTTTGACATTAGCTATTGTGGTATGGTTGAAGAACATTCTGGTTATTTGGACTTCTGCATCTCCTAGGCTTTTGTCTGCTCCACACCAGCCTAATAAGAAGGTCTGGTCCACATGGGTTGTGTACCCAGGGATCCTCTGACTCTTAGTTTCCTCATTTACAAAATGAGGATAAGTCCTATCCTAGAGATTGGTTGCTGCTGTTGTTGTTGCTAAGTCGTGTCTGACTCTTTGTGACCCACCAGGCTCCTCTGTCCGTGAGATTTCCCAAACAAAAATACTGGAGTAAGTTGCCATTTCCTCCTCCAGGGGATCTTCCTGTCTCAGGGATCGAACTCACATTTCTTGCTTTTACAGATGGATTCTTTACCACTGAACCACCATGGAAGCCCAGAGACTGGTTAGGAGAATTACATAAATTAACATAATAAACCTTTATGTGATCTGTCCTAGAGTTTATTGTTTATTTATCTCTGAAAAGCTGATCTACAATGGACACTACACTTCACCTTAAACATAGAGGATCCCGCAAAGTCTTGGACTTCCACATGATAATTATTTCCATGCTTAAAACTGTTAAAATTCAAGAATTTAAAAAAGTATTTTAGGGAAACTTCCCTGGTGGGTCCAGTGGTTAAGACTCCGTGCTCTCAATGCAGATGGCACAGGTTCAATCCCTGGCTGGGGAGCTAAGATCTTGCATGCCACATGGTGTGGCCAAAAAAAACAAGTAAATAAAAACAAAAATAATATTTTCTGGTGCTCTGCTTTTTTGGTGCCTGGAGAATTCTAAGTGCTCTGCTCTGGACTGACTGAGGATGCCTGGGGACCCCACTGCATGGCCTGGAGGCTTTGGGAATCCATGCTTCTAGAGCAGTGGGCCCAGGGGTCCCTCTCCTTCAGACTGAACCTGACAGGAACGCAACGGCAGCCTCTATCACCGTAGGGAGACCAATCTCTCCCCTTCAACTCAGATGAGATTGCTTCTGAGGTTCAATTTGAGGTGTCCATCAGCAATGTTGTTAGAACTGAAAATAAGTGAGAACATTAGCCAAAAAATAAGGAAAATGAATATTTTTTGGATCTTGATAAAGCAAGATGCATAGAGGCACTAGAAAGGAAGGTGAAGATGCAAAGCACATTGGTTTTAGCACCAGATGGGCTGGGTCTATTGTGGGGGCTCTGTTACTCCCCATGTTGAAATGCTAGATTCCTTCCAGCCCAAGAATCCATTGACTAAAAACACTAGCAATTTAACACGAGCTTTTGAGGGGTGGGCAGAACTGTATGAATTGATACTACTGGTACATATTGACAGAAAATGTATTTTAGAATGAAGAACTATAATGCTTAAGCAATGTAATTCCTTATCTGTTAAAAACATAGTTATACTTGTGCAATAGTATCTAGTTTGTTTAAAATATGATAATGCTAGCACTCACCTCTTGGATTGTTGGAACGATTAAAGGAAATAACAGCTTGCATAGCCCTGGCATGATGTCTGGACAGGTGAGCACTGAATGACTGACAGCAGGGTCTGGGAACAGAGTCCTCATGGTGAACAAATAGAGTCTCTACAACCCCAGGAATCAGATTCAGTGCTCACTAAGTACATACTGGGCACCTACTGTATTTCAGGGACCCAGGCATCATAAATACTTCTATTTATGATAGTGAACACTGAATTCTACATTCCTTATGTTTGAGGTCATTTGATAGTTCACTGCTGGGGAACTAAATACCTATTGGATCACAAACACTCAGTATTGTGAGCACTTAAAATCAGGAGGCCTATAAAAATTGATGCGATTTTATTTTCAGATAACTACCCTGATTTTGCTAATGTAATTTTGTTCCTTTTCTTTCTCTTTTTGCAGAACCTAGTTATCAAAGTGAAATAAGGTAAGTCTACGATTACATCAATTTCCTGAAAATAAAAACAAATGAAAACCAACCCACACACACAGCTGTGGGATTTTAGGACTATATTACGCAAAATAAGGCACTAAAAGTGGACAACTCTGAAAAACACCTATGCCAATCACCAACTCATAGGGCGATATTAACTGTAGAATAAAATAGGTGGGTTCCTACTGCCTATGTTTGACTTGCTCACTTAGGAAAGTGGAGTAGATTTTTATTGGTGTCTGGCATTTGCCACTCTTTCCACAAGAGGACACTCTGTACCGTGACTGGTGCCCTCTTGCTTTAAGTCATGGCTGGGGATCTGAGGACCATTTGAAGAATCAGGCAGAGGTCCTACTGGAACTTCCAGGTCAGTGGAGACAGCGAGACCAGCTGGGTTGCTTAAGGCAATGAAGCTGACTAGGCAGATAGGTTAGGAGTGTTCGCTGCTCACCACCCCCCCTTCCCAGGGGGAGGGATGGAGACATTCCTGCCCTTCTCACAGCTGCCCAGATATAGCTGCAAGCATTTTTAAGGTAACTACATCAAGGACTTATAATAAACAGTTTAAATGTCTGCAATATTTACATAATTATAAATGCAGTTAAGGGAGGAATTTCTAGAGTGGTGGTTTTGTTGGGAGTGTTAAAACCACATCTAGTTTTCAGTATCTTATTAGACAATTTTCATATGCATAATGCTGCAATTTAAAATATCTTCTGGCTACATGTGGTGAAGGAAGTTGTATGTAATCATCATTAGCTCATGAATGAACATCCTTTCAGGTAAATATTTGCACATACCCTTGCTTATTTCCCTTGCTTGATAATCAATTCTTAGTGGTAAAGCATAAATATTTAACAATCTTTGGATATCTACTGCCAAACTTCCTTCCCCTGGGACGCTGCACCAATTTTTGCTTTATTTCAGAGGCGTACTTTTTCTATGGAGGGCCAGAGAGTAAATCTCTTTGCTTTTGTGGGCCACATGCTTTCTGTCACAGCTACTCAACTCTTGCTCTAACAGGAAAGCAGCCACAGACAATATGGAAACTGATGAGTTCCAACAAAACTCTATTTATAGAAACAGATGGGGGCCCAGATTTGGTCTGTGGGTCATAGCTGGCCAACCCTGCTTTATGTAGTCACTGGTGTCTGAGAGCAGAGTATCAGCCACCTGGGGATTGGAGTCCACGGACGTGCCATGATAAAGTTCCATTTCTTTTCCATGAGGGGAGCGTGCGAGCATGCAGAACTCTACACAGCCATCCTGGTGGGTATGAGAGCCCATCCTGATGCTGGGCGCCCTCCCGGAGCCAGGGCCTGGACTTCAGCCTTGTGTTAAGTTCTTTGTGAATGCACTGGGTGGATAGTGAGACCCCAACATCCATTGCTGATGAACATTGGCTTTTTCAAATGGTCTAATTCTAGGAAATCTGCAACTATGAAGACAAGCAAAGACACTCTAGGGACAAACTTGGAAATTGGAAATGAAAACTATGGCTACCATTCAGATGAGCCAAGGACCATACATGAGTGGCTGGGTTTGGACACCGGTAAGATCTGGAAGGGAGAGTGTCAGAGGAGGACCTGGCCCACCGAACACCAGATCGGCATCTGCTTAGCTGTTGGCGGTCATTATTTGGGGTGTAATTTTTAGAAGAAGTCATTCCAGAACTAGAAATAGTCTAGGAGACAATAACAGTAAAAATCCGCCTATTTATCTAAAGTTAAAAGAAATTAAGGTGAAAATTTGTTTTTTTTTTTTTTTTCAGTTTAACAGAATATTGATTTATTGTAAGGTATGATGTACAGTGTGACATGCCAAAAATAATTTTTTTCAACATTTTCATTTTTTAAAAAAAATTCTTCTACCTTAAAGTGTGTGAGGAGGCATTTTAATACACTGAGGGTAACTTCCCCCAAACTTCAGTTAAATCTGAAACTCAGCAAGAAATCTTTCCTTTTCAATTTGACAGTCATCATAATGGGTTGTCTTTGAAGCCACTGTCACTAGTGAAGGACAGTTGGATTTGAACCAAGATCCTTTTCAAGGAAGTTGAGAGAAAGACTGTATAAATTACCCCTGGCCCTAACAATTTGCTGGCAAAAGTTGGGGACTGGCTCTAACAATTTGCCGGCAAAACAAATTCCACAGGAAGATTTTTGGTTAATTGATTCTTGCAGAGATGCTCAAAACTGTTTTCTCCACTGAGACTGGGACTCTATTCTTGGTAGCCCTGTTCTTCGCATTCTTTTGTGTCTCCCTCCTATGTACATTCCAAATTGTATGCTTGAGATTCAAAGGAATATCACCAAGCATGGACAATTTCCTCTAACAATCCCATCATAGTCTCTTGCAAAATTTCTTGTGATAGAATATTTATTCATTAGTAGTTAGAGTGATGAATCAAGTCGCTTGACCAAAATTGTGGCCCAAACCGAATCTCTCTGGCCCCTTTTCCCCACTGTGTCTATTTCCCTCCATCAGCCATTAAAGCGATGGATTTGTCTTGTTTCTGAATGAGACTAACCTCTCAAGAAAGGAATCAATTTTGAGTCCTTTTGCTATATTTTTATTTCACTAGAAAGATAAATCTCTAAAAGTACGTCCCATCAAGTAAACTTTAAAAAAGCCATTTGTGGTTAGGAATGATTGATGCCAGGGGTACTACATAAAAGTATTTCTTTATGCGTCAGAGTGGTTAGAATAGGCAGTGGGGTTTGGGTCACTTCTGACTCTAAAAACATCTTTCTGTTGCAGAGCCAGCTTCCCTCCACGACAAGTCCTCTGAAGCCAGTGTTCCAGAACAACGCAGCAGTAGGCAACCTCATCAGGTGATTCAGACCTTCTCCCCCTTTTGGACTTTTTTTTTGGAGGGGTGGCCATTAAACATCCTTGCCTCACAGCAGGTGATTATGTTATGTTCATGTTGGACAGATGTGGCATTTGCCCACCTCTGAGTCAACGGGACAGTGCTGGGAAACAGGGCCAGAACACGTAGTATCTCTCCCTGTGGAGCAGGTTTTTTGGGAAAAGACCAAAAGTGTAATTGGTGACTGGTAATATTGAGGAGTCTTTTAGATGTCCACACAGAGATGTGGGATGTGCAGATGGTTGTGTGAGCCTGGGGCACCAGGAAGAGCATGATTTTTTTTTAAATTTTATTTTTCTCATATGTTTTTAAAAAATTAATTTATTTTAACTGGAGGATAATTACTTTACAACATTGTGATGGTTTTGGCACACATCGACATGAATCAGCCACCAGTACATATGTGTCCCCTCATCTTGGACTCCCTCCCTGCTCCCTCCCCACCCTATCTCTCTGGGTTGTCCCAGAGCACCAGCTTTGAGTGTGCTGCTTCATGCCTCAAACTTGCACTGGTCATCTATTTTGCATATAGTAATATACATGTTTCAGTACTGTTCTCTCAAATCATCCCACCCTCGCCTTCCCCCCACAGAGTCCAAAAGTATGTTCTCCTTTGCTACCTTGCATATAGGATCATTGTTGCCATCTTTCTAAATTCCATATATATGCATTGATATATAGTATTTGTGTTTCTCTTTCTGACTTACTTCACTCTGTATAATTTGCTCCAGTTTCATCCACCTCATCAGAACTGACCCAGACTTGTTCCTTTTTACAGCTGAGTAGTATTCCATTCTGTATATGTACCACAACTTCATTATCCATTCATCTGCCAATGGACACCTAGGTTGCTTGCACGTCCTAGCTATTGTAAACAGTGAGGGCAGAGCAAAACTGATTGTAGGTATGTCTGGTTGCTAGGCAACTGTTGATGGGCACTGCCCTTCCAAGGGACGTTATCATAAGGGAAACCATCCATGAGGAACCGTGGAGACACAGTTTGTCATTTTCTGACCCTGAGTCAACATTGGTTATCACTCGAATGAATTAGAGTTCATAAGCAGAATACACGGTTCTTTATATCCAAAAATCATATTAAACAAATGTGTACATGTCAATCCTAATCTCCCGATTCCTCCCACCCCCTCTTCTCTCCTTGGTGTCCATAGGTAGTTCTCTGTATCTGGATTTATATATATATATATTCTATATTTATATATATATCCTATTGATACTATGTGTAAAATAGACAACTAATGAGAACCTACTGCACAGCTCAGGGAACTCTACCCGGCACTCTGTGATGACCTAAATAGGAAGGAAGTCCAAAAAAGAGGGGGTATATGTACATGTGGGCTTCTCAGGTGGCCCAGTGATAAGAATCTGCCTGCCAATGCAGGAGACACAGGACATATGGGTTCGATCCTTGAGTTGAAAAGATCCCCAGGAGAGGGAAATGGCTACCCACTCCAGTACTCTAGCTTGGGAAATTACAGTCCATGCGGCTGCAAAGAGTCAGACACGGCTGAGCAACTGAGCACACATGCATATGCATACGTATGGCTGCTTCACTTTGCTCTACAACCGCAATTAACTCAGCATTGTAAAGCAACTATACCCTAATAAAGATGACTTCAAACAACAAACAAAATGCAAATGTGTGTACAACCAGGACCATTTCCTAACTTGTGCATCTTCAAAGGAGAAGCACTTAGAGGCGATTCTGCCCACATGTCCCCAGTGGGTGTTCTCCTCTGTTAGATTTTGGGAAAGCCAGACTCACAGACTGGGGCTCCGACAGCTTGTGGATCACACAGCCTTAGCTCTGTTTGGCCTCGGAGTTGGTACCTGTGTGAGGCGCTGCTGCTGAGTGCGTGCCTTCGAAGCCCCATCCTTCTATCCTGGCGTGGATGTTCACTTCAGCTTCCAGCTGGCTGCCGGCTGTAATATCCCTCCCTGCAGTTGGGACCCAGCTCCGTACATACATCTTGCCAGAGACATGTGCCTCCCAAGCCTGTGCAGGGAAGGGGACCTTGATAGATGCTCAGCCCCATATCGAGAGGAGCTAAATGATGTGTTAGCAGCAACCAAGGTAGCCAGGCGGGAAGATGTATGAGGGGTTCGAGGCACAGAAGCAGATGGATCTGCGTGACAAATTGTGAGCTTCTGGTATGAGTTTGAGCTACTGCCTCAGGCTGGGTGGCAGAGAATAGAGAGGTAAAACTCTTCCCATCAAGCTGCTCCTGTGGGCACATGTATCTTTTGGTTGTAGCGATGCAACAGTTTCCCCTTCCAAAGGCCAGTCTCTTGACTTAAGAGGTGGTGGGTGAAAGGGAGCAATTGCCAGGCTGTGATGGGCCTTTCCTGTCCAGACCCCATGACTGGACCTGGGTGGGCACTGCATGCTGATGAAGGGGCTCTCCCCTGGTGTCAAGCATGGTCACCCCAAGGACACATTTAAGCCAGTCATTACTTCAGTGGCCTTTCTGGGGCTACATGGCATGTGTCTTTCCACCAGAGAAGTTGCAGTGCTCAGGTCTGGGTTGGACGACAGGGCAGGGAGGAGGAGATACAGAAGGGGGTCATGTCCCATGTCCCTGATATAAAGGAGGAGAAAGGGGGACTACGGATGTGCTTGTATACAGGAGGATGGCATTCGAAGCTCTGAGTGCACACTCAGTTCAAGGTGTTGTTTTGAAAATATACAGGGAGACATTTCATTTAGTTTGTTTTCCAATTTCTCCATCTCTTCCTTTTTTTTTTTTTTTGATGTTCTTTCTCAAGCACAGTAGAAAAGCTTTTTCATACATATATAAATAATGTGTATAATATATATCTTAGAAAACTTATGAATTTTTGCCTAAAAGATTTATGACATTTCGACTCACTTGTTTGACTTAGTATGAATGAAATGCTAGATTCCAATTAAAAAAAAAAATAGATGTGCAACAAGCAACAAAGGTTTACTGTATAGTACAGGGAACTATAGTCAATATCTTATAATAACCTACAATGGAAAATAATCGGAAAAATAATAATATGTGTATATGTATAACTGAATCACCTTGCTGTGTATCTGAAACATTGTAAGTTAATGGTACTTTGATGAAAAATATATATGATGAAAAAAATATACAGGGAGAGAAATTTAGGATGTTTCTTCTTCTTAAACGTGTAACAAGTTGGATAATCTATTGGTTGAATAAGAACAGTGGCCATGGAGGTGCTGGGCCCTGGGGGCTGTTAACACACCCCCACACTTCTTGAAGTGTTTGTAAGGTTTCTAGGCAAGCAGGGCACCTCAGCCAGAGGACCAGGTTTCTTAAGAATCAAAGAGGGTGCAAGGAAGATAAACTATTTTTGCCTGAGCTAGAAACTGACAAAAGATTTTTAAATAGCTGGATTTTTCTAAGCAAGGAAACGTAGGACAAGCACATTTCTGAAAAGGCCCATCTTTGATCCTTAAGCAAAAGGAGCCTTGCAGGTGCGGGTCCAGGCACCGTGTCCTCGTTGCCCATTTGGGAAACCTGGATGTGAGGTGTACCGTGCGTTATGCTTCCCAAGAGGCCTTTAAAGGAGGGAAGAATTGTGTTAGTCACTCAGTCGTCTCAGACTCTTTGCGACCCCATGGACTGTAGCCCATCAGGCTCCTCTGTCCATGGAAGTTTCCAGACAATACTGCTGTTCAGTTCAGTTCAGTCACTCAGTCGTGTCTGACTCTTTGCAACCCCATGAACCACAGCATTCCAGGCCTCCCTGTCCAGCCCCAACTCCCGGAGTCCACCCAAACCCAAGTGCATTGAGTCGGTGATGCCATCCAACCATCTCATCCTCTGTCGGCCCCTTCTCCTCCTGCCCTCAATCTTTTCCAGCATCAGGGTCTTTTCCAATGACTCAGCTCTTCACATCAGGTGGCCACAGTACTGGAGTTTCAGCTTCAACATCAGTCCTTCGAATGAACACCCAGGACTGATCTCCTTTAGGATGGACCAGCTGGATCTCCAGACCATTCAGGCAATACTACTGGAGTGGTAGCTATTCCCTTCTCCAGGAACCTCCCTGGCCCAGGGATCAAATTCTGGTCTCGTGCTTTGCAGGCGATTCTCTAAAACTGAGCCAGCACAGAAGCCCTTGAGGAGGGAACAGACAAATACCATGTGATACCGCAGCCATGTGGAATCTACAAAACGACGCGAATCAACTTGTTTACAAGACAGATTTTCAGACCCCGAAAATGAAACTATGGCTACCAAAGGGGAAAGTGAGAGGAGAGATAAATTAGGAGGTTGGGATTAACAGATACACACCACTCTATATAGATAACTAACAAGGACCTACTGTAGAACACAGGGAACTCTATTCAATATTTCGTGATAACCTATGAGGGTAAAACATTTCACGCAAAGATGGGCTCAATAAAGGACAGCAATGGTATGGACCTAACATAAGCAGAAGATATTAGGAATAGTTGGCAAGAACACAGAGAAGAACTGTACAAAAAAGATCTCCATGACCCAGATAATCACAATGGTGTGATCACTCACTTAGAGCCAGACATCCTGGAATGTGAAGTCAAGTGGGCTTTAGGAAGTGTCACTACAAACAAAGCTAGTGGAGATGATGGAATTCCAGCTGAGCTATTTCAAATCCTGAAAGGTGATGCTGTGAAAATGCTGCAGTCAATCTGCCAGCAAATTTGGAAAACTCAGCAGTGGTCACAGGACTGGAAAAGGTCAGTTTTCATTCCAATCCCAAAGAAAGGCAATGCCAAAGAATGCTCAAACTACCTCACAATTGCACTCATCTCACACACTAGTAAAGTAATGCTCAAAATTCTCCAAGCCAGGCTTCAACAATACGTGAACTATGAACTTCAAGATGCCCAAGCTAGATTTCAAAAAGGCAGAGGATTTGTTGCATCAAATTGCCAACATCCGTTGGATCATTGAAAAAGTAAGAGAG